TTCAAGGGAAATTGGTCTACCTCGTGAGTTCTAAGCCAGAACCACATAGTGAGACCCTGTCCAAACAAAACAAAACAACAACAAAAAAAATAGCCAACAACAACAAAATGGCTCTGTTGGGGAATCAAAGGAGCCTTATAGGAAGTCCAAGAGAGGCTGGGTGGTCAGCCACAACAAGTAGGGCAGCTTCCAAAAACAGGCAGAGGGACAAGCATGTTCTTGGGCCACAAAATCCTAGGTATGGACTATTACTTAGGAATTACCACTCTGGTGCGTAATAAACTGGAGCTGATTGTTATCATTTTATACGCGAGGAAAAGGAAATTTAAGGAACGGAAAGTCGGTTACTAACTTGCTCATGCTTCTGTTATTCCCTGCTCAACTTTCTCCTGCTCAGAATAGGCAAAGGGGCTGTGGGTTTGCAGCTGTTGAGCAGGGTGAATTTTAGGACCTCTGGGAAATCCCTTCTTCTTCTAGTCTTAATGGAAAGTCCCAGGCCCAGGCTTGCCTCTGAAAGAGCCAAGCTCCAAGCTAACCTTCTATCCTTTTCCCGTAGCCATGGCACCCTCCCAGAACTGAGGACAGTCGAGACTGTGTGCCGAGATGAGTAGGACCCTTTTCTACACTTTATTATGCAAATTTGACGCATTGAGCACTCTTATGTCCACTACAAAGACCCTATCAGTGACATGCTACAGTACTCCTTGGTTACAAAATGAGTCCCGTAAGCCATCTTTTATTTATTTTATTGTTATTTGGATTTCTTTTTTTTTTTTTTTTACTTACAATTTTGGGCTTTTTGATCAGGGTCTCCTAGGTGCTTCACCAACATGCCCTGTTCTTTCCTGTTTTGTGTTTGTGGAGGGGTCATGCACATGCCGTGCATGCATGTGGGCAGAGAATAACTTGGAATCAGTTCGCTCCCACCATCATGTGGGTTCTGGGGAGAGACTCATGTCATCAACTTGGCAGCAGGTGCCTCAACCTTCTGAGCCATCTCACCAACTCCTCCTGCATTATTTTTACATTTATTTCAAATTGAAATGCAGACATCAGTATATTTCCTGCTAAATATGTCAGCTTTTACATAATTGAATAGAGTTCAATATTTATTTTCACTTACACAATTAACATAGTTGAATTTTTGGGTCTTTCACATGTATTTTTCAAAACTACCTTTTACCATTTTTGTTTCGAAATGAAGTTTACATCCTTGGGATGCCTGAATTCACTCTGTAGACCAGGCTAGCCTCGAACTTGAAAGGATCCCTCTGCCTCTGCCTCCTGAATGCTGGGATTATAGGTATTTTTCACTGTGTCTTACCACCAAAATGTTTTGAGGTTTATTATATTCTCACATACAATAAATAGTACACATGGGGGCTGGAGAGATGGCTCAGCATTTAAGAGCACTGGCTGCTGCTCTTCCAGAGGACCCAGGTTCAATTCCCAGCACCCACGTGGCAGCTCACAACTGTCTTTAACTCCAGTTTCAGGGGATCTGACACACTCACACCAATGCACATAAAATAAAATTAAATAAATTTTAAAAAATAGTCCATGTGTACCAGACTGGGTCTAAAATTCACTATGTAGCCAAGGATGACCTTAAACTCCTTGATCCTCCTGCCTCTACCTTCTTGCTATATAGTAAATGCCAGAGCAGCTTAGATTAGATATTAAGACCCTGTCTCAAACAAACAGGCTGAGAACATAGCTTTTGTTTGTTTAGTTGTTTTTTTTGGTTTTTTGAGACAGGGTTTCCCTGTAGCTTTTGGAGCCTGTCCTGAAATTAGACCAGGCTGGCCTCAAACTCAGAGATCCGCCTGCCTCTGCCTCCCGAGTGCTGGGATTAAAGGTGTGTGCCTTTGAGTAGAGGCCAGCCTGGTCTATGTAGAGAGACTCCATCTCAAAACAAACAAACAAAAAACCCAACAAAAACAGAAACAGAACCCCAATAGCCAAAAAGGCCATTGTTTTTGTTTTGTTTTTCTCTAGATAAATCTTATATTGTGGAATTGTCTTGGAGTCATAGAAGGTTGCAGAAATAAAGAGAAATCCTGTATATCCCACTCTGTTTTCCTGTGTTAACATCTTAAATTGCACAGAACTTTTATTAAACTAAGAACCCACTCTGGGACATTACTCCTAACTGAATGGGAGTCATGTCTTCTTTGTCCAGGACCAACCTAGAGGACCATGTTAGACTTGGTTGTGTCTCCCCAGTGTCCTCCACTCTGCACCTCATCTTTGTTTTTCAGGTTCCCCAAGGTTGTTTTGTTATCAGACTGAGACTTGTTCTCTTTGTTTATTTTTAAAGAACCCCTGGGGATGGAGAGATGGTTCTGCAGTTAAGAACACTGTTGCTCGGGCAGATAATCCCAGTTTAACTCCAACATCCCACTTGGTCACTCACAACTCCAAGACACACATGGTGCACATACGTGTATGCAGGAAACCTGTAGAGTAAAATAAATAAACCTAAAGGAAAGAATCTGCAGGTCAAGCTCTCTTCTCATTATCCTGTCAGAATGTGTCAGCTATGTGGCTCAACCTAATAACCTAGTTTGATTTGCCTTCCTTTGACCTAGCCAGCTCATCACCATGGGACAAATTGTGAGTTCTGAAATTTCATGATTGCCTTTCACCTACCCTGCCACAGGAACTGGGTTTCCCTTTCCCAGACAAAACATCTTGGGGTCTGGGTGAGAAAACCCCAGGGCTCAAGGTCAGTAACTGCTGCCTTAACCAGGCTGGCCAAAGACTGCCTGGTTGCTTGCTAATGTTACAGAGCCCTGTGTCCTTTTGTGGCCTGGGCCCACAACACATCACCCTCTAGGTATGGCGTTGGTCCAACTAATTGAATGCCTTGAGCCTCAATTTCTGTTTCATTTTTGTTTTTGTAGCTTTTCGAGTCAGGGTTTCTCTGTGTAGCTTGGAGTCTGTCCTGGAACTTACTCTATAGTCCAAGCCTGCCTCGGCTTCCCAAGTGCTGGAATTAAAGGCATGCGCCACTACCACCCAGATAAGCCTCAATTTCTCTATTGGTAAAATAGACCATTAATTAACCTTCCAGTGAGTTGATGGCAGGTATGTGTCCAGAGACTGTCAGTGCTTTTGGCCACCAGGGTCTTCGTAGCAGCTCTTCTACCTTCAGAAAAGTCTATTAGCTGCCCAGGACAGGGCTCTGGAGACATACCTCAACCTCTAATCTGCCCCAAGACCGTCACTGAATGTTTACCACATTCAAGGCCTGTCTCCCCATGTGAACTAAGAGGTGGTTGCTGCTGGTACTCCAAAAATTTTTGAGAATTTTTTGTGGTGTCTCTGACAGTGTGCCTGCCTTTCTTTGGTGAGGTGTCAGCTCCAGTTAGTCCAGTCTTGGGGATGTTGGACTGAATAGGGTTGCAGACTTTGGGGTTAAGTGGGCAAATGAGACAAATCCTGTTCCTTTCTGAGGCTTTATTCAGGGTGAGAATGAACTGAGATTCCCGGCCCTTTTGATTTTGTGGTCAGCCTGAGTTGTGGCAGGTAAGTGTCACAGCAGCAGAGGCACTCAGGGCGCATCCTCAGCAGAAGCAGTATTACCACAGAGTGTCACACAGCTGGATGTGAAGTTGCAGTCTGAATGAGTATATGTCAGCAGAGAGGTTAAGCGGTTAGGACCTAGGCCAGGGGTAAGTGAGCCTACAACAGAGTTGAAGAGCAGACAGGTATTGACTAGATGATAATGCGCCAGGCAGAGGAAACCGCAAAGACCTATGGTTAGAAGGGCAGTGCAGGAAGTGATGTAATGTGCAGCAGGGACCAGGTGCAAGGCCCTGAACCCGAGAAGCCTTTGGGAGAACTCAAATCAAGCGGTAACATAATCAGATTTGTGGTCTTAAAAGCTCCCTCTGGCTTCCTGGCACAGGACAGGGTTTGAGAGCAGGGAACCCTGGGAGGTGGTTTTGGTACTGTTTAGGTGACAACAGTGACTTTGTTGGGGGTTGTTACAGGGATGGGTGGAATTGTATGTTTTCAAGGTAGAATTGTGGGCTGTGTGTATGGGAGAAATACTAGGCAGTTCTGTGTCCTGAGCCGCTGGACAGGGGAGGTTTGGCAGAGGAGGCTGGATGGGGAGTACCTGTGGGAAAAGACAAGGTACATGCACAGTTTCCTAGAACACTCACTGGTCAGGATTCCCAAGGACGGAAGTGTAAACAAGAAGGGAGCAGAAGGTAAGATGCAGGCAGCTGCCAGGTGGTCATAAGCCCTTTCAGAACTAGGTACGTGCTAGGAGGGAAAGAGGTCCCTGGGTAGGTTCAGACTGGGCTTTGATGGGAGGTGCCAGGCAGGAACTGTCAGCCCACAGGGGCTTTATTTAGTAAAGTGTGCTCCATGGCTTCTCATTCTCTCTTCCCCTGCCAGATCCTGCTCATCTCCGACTACTTCTATGCCTTCCTGCGACGGGAGTATTACCTCACACACGGTCTCTATTTGACTGCCAAGGACGGCACAGAGGCTATGCTTGTGCTCAAGTAGCCCTGGCTGGCACAGAGCTGCATGGACAAGAGGGGGAAGGGCCAGAAGCCAGGCCAGGTCCTTCATCAAGAGTTGCCAGCAGGCAAGTCCTCAGGCAGAAGAGGTTCAAATCCAGGGTTGCGAATCTCTGGCACCAAAGGGGACTCATAGCTGGCCACAAGCCCCATGGGGAGAAGCTAGGAGCACCCCAGTTGAACCTCTCACTTTGTGACTCTGCACAGGAAGGAAGGGGGAAGCAGTAGGTGAGCAGGGCTTTATAGGTTGTGGCTAAACTTAATAAACGTGTGGGTTTTTCATTGTTGTTGTTCTGATGACATCTATTCCTGGAGTGGGGTGAATTTGGCCCCTAATACTGTATGACATCCTGTACTAAGGAGTAGGTTTCTGGGAACCCACAAACCCTGAATGACACAAGTGTGTGGCCACACTCACCTAGCAGCCCTCCCTACTCCCAAACAAGCAGCTGGAGGCAAAGGGCCAGGCAGGCCTGAGTAATCTTTATTCTGTTGAGGAAATGACCACAGATCCATACACCATGTCAGGACAAGGGGAACCAGCCTTTCAGGGGTGGGCAAGTTCTGGCAGGAGGCAAAAGCCTCAGGTGGATGAGGGACAGGTGGGCAGACAGGCAAGGGGCTTTAAAAAAAAAGACAAACCACAGAGCAAGGGTACTGCTCCCCACTCCCAACCCAGCCAGCACCCAGAGGAGCAGCCCTAATATGACTGGCCCAGGGTATGGTAGGCTGGCTGGTGTCCCCTACCTAGAATGTGGGGTGGGGGGGTGTCACATCTCTGCCTAACCCATTGGGGACTGAAAAAGCTCAGTTTAGGAGCCAGGACCTCCCTGGAGAGAGCCTGACCAGAATTCCCTGCCACCCCCCACCCTTACTCCTGACTCAGAAGCCAAAGGTTTCTTGGGAGGCATAGACCATGTAGAGGAATCCGTCTTCATCCTTCTCCTGTTCATAGATGTCAGCGATGGGCGTGGATACGCTCACCATGCTGTGCTGGTTCACCAGCAGGAAGAAGGCCTGCGTGGGGTTGAGCTGCAGGCGGCGCCTGCGGAGGCAGGAGGGCATGCCTGGTGAGAAGGCCGCCTGCTGGGGGCCTGGGTGACCCACCCAAAATGATTCTGAATCTTCACTTTTCGTCCATCACAGCCCAGGCTCTAGCCCTCACCTCTTTAGAAGTTCACTCCAATCCCGACCTTGACCTTTCCCAGCCTCCTAGAACCGGCTGGGTGCCCTCTCCTGTCCCCTCGCCCCACTCCACCTCTTCCGAGTGGAACCTGGCCCCTACCCCTCAAGGCCTTCGGGAGGCTGCCCACGCACCGGATGATCTTGACCAACTCGCTCATGTTAACATGGTCTGGGACCAGAAACTTGGTCTTATCCAGGACAGGCAGCTGCTTCTCACCCTTGTAGCGTTCGATGATCACCTGGGAGCATAGTGGGCGGGGGACTCGTAAGGCAGGGGCGGGACCTAGTAGGGCAGGGCGTGGCCAGCGGGGGCTATAGACTCACCGGGATCTTGCTGGGGTGCTGGTCGCGGATCTGCTGCACCTCCTTACAGCGGTCGGCTGTGGACAGCACTCAGAGTTAGGCCCCATAGGGCTGAGGCCTCTCGCG